TGTGTTTGTGTTTGTGTTTGTGTTTGTGTTTGTGTTTGTGTTTGTGGCTGTGGCTGTGGCTGTGGCTGTGGCTGTGTTTGGTGTTTGGTGTTTGGTGCTTGGTGCTTGGTGCTTGGTGCTTGGTGCTTGGTGCTTGGTGTTTGGTGCTTGGTGTTTGGTGCTTGGTGTTTGGTGCTTGGTGCTTGGTGCTTGGTGCTTGGTGTTTGGTGCTTGGTGTTTGGTGTTTGGTGTTTGTGTTTGTGTTTGTGTTCGTGTTTGTGTTTGTGTGTGTGTGTTCGGTAGCACCGGAGGCCCGCCAAGCGGGGCAGGTTCAAAGGGTAGCCGAAGCTTTTGCATTACGCGACTTACTACTGTCTGACCGGCCACACAGCCACGATCCATCTTGTTGTCATTCCCAATATTCACATCCGGTTATGCCCTGCAGGCAGCTGCCGAGCAAGAACTGTATCCGGACACGGACGACGAGGGGCGATGCTGCTTGCTGGCATAGCTACTTCGCACTCGCTGGGTCGGGGTTGGCATGCCGGCAAACCCCTACGGTGGGAATACTGAAGCCAGCCCCTCAGATGGTGCAACGACCGATCAAGTTTCCTGCTTCAGGCACAGGTACCGCGAACCATGAAGATCGTTTTTTTCGCAACTTTGTGCATGGTGACATCAGTAACGGCGAAGATTGCGGTTATTTCCGTAGCGATTTTACTCGCCACAGTCCCGTGCGCATCGCGTCGGCTTTGTGCTCGCTGTAGTTTACAGGGACAACTGCAACAGATTGCTGCAGCATAGCCTGGCATTCAACACATGTGGTGAAACGTTCTAAGTTATGAGATTGCTGCAGCTGAGATGTATCACTCCATAGGAATGGTCATGTCTGGCAGTCTGGCAGGCTGCCAGGTGCCCAGGTCGAGGCACCCCTCTTTCTTCGTTTGTGCCTGCTCCAAAGCACAACATTCGACCTGAAAAGTGCCCAGGTCGAGGCACCCCTCTTTCTTCGTTTGTGCCTGCCCCAAAGCACACTATTCGACCTGAAAACTGGCACAGGCTGATCCCAAAGTTTAGATCAGACACCCAAACCCGGATCCGCCCGAAAAGCATCGCCAGAATCCCACACGTCCAAGTTTCGACCCTGAAAGCAGGGCGCTTGGTGTGTGCCTGCTCTAGAGCACAAGATCCGACCTGGAAACCAAGACAAGCTAGATCCCAAAGTTTCGATCCGAACCAAGACCCGGAAGCGAAAGTTTCGACTCGGAGCAGTGTTTCGACCCGGCATCCTAATCCGAAAGTTTCGACACGGAAAGCGAGTTTTTGAACCGCCTTTTTAAGTACGACTAGAATCCCAAATCCTAAAAAACAGGTTTCGAGTTTCGACACGAAGTACCGAGACCCGAGGTTTTAGGGCATCTGTTTATATATATATATATATATATATAGAATGTCGGTCATGTACATGGAGACCGACATTCTCTCGGACGAATTCGGATTAAACGTCCTGTCGTCCCGGCCACCAAGTACTAGCGATGGCACGCACTGGAATCTATACGGAATATAGTATTGCACACTTGTGACGAATGTTCGACATGACACCGTACAAAGTGGTATACCAGCCGAGGTCAATGCTCTAACGTTTCAAGGCGTTAGAGAGAGACGTGCCGGTGAGTTTAGGGATTAGGGTCTAGGGTTTAGGGTTTAGGGTTTAGGGTTTAGGGCACATGCAGTCCGAGGACCCAGGATGTCAGGTAGTTCACCCAAAACCCTAAGGAACAAGACGATAGCGGAGACCCAGAAGGAACCAGGGTTTAGGGTTTAGGGTTTAGGGTCTAGGGTCTAGGGTTTAGGGTAACTTTCCGAACCCTCAATCCTAGACCTACACCCGAAACCCCGAATTAGACCCTCACCGCTCGGCCGAAACCTTGAACTGATTCTGAAACGCTAAAGCTCTAAACTCTAGACCCCCTAAACCCTCAAAACACTAGACCCCTTCGAGCCCTTAGAGCCCTAAAGCCAAAACCCTAAACCCTGCCAGAGGAGACCCGAGCCACACCATTGGCAAGATGACCCTGGACACCGTCCCTGTCCCGGAGCCCAAAAAGGGCCAGGCAAGGCCCTGAAGCTCTTAGGGGTCAGGTTTCGGGTTTAGGTTTAGGGTTTAGGGTTTAGGATTTATAGGGTTGAACCCCAAACCCCAGTCCCTAACCCCAACAGTACAGTTTAGGGTTTTTTCGGTGGTTTATTGGGTTTGCAAGGTTTATAGGGTTTGTGTTGGGTTTATAGGGGTTTGCAGGGCTTTCAGGGTTTAGGGCTTACCCTAAAACCTAAACCCTAAACCCTAAACGAGGCTGTTCGAAGTGTAGATGCAGGCGAGGGTCGATTTTGGGATTTGGCTGCTGTGGGTCGCACATCTCCGCGGCACGAGCTTTCCGAAGTATTCTGCCCCCGCAATTCCAGGTAGCCCTAAACCCTAAACCCTAAACCCTAAACTCGAGAACCCTTTTGGACGCAATGGCTTGCCCTCATGGTAATTGTTTCAGGGCCGAGTCTGTCTAAGATACTATTAAACGAATGTTGAATCACGCTAAACCCTAAACCCTGTAAACCCTGCTCACTTAGAATGGGTGCCCGGACATGGCACCCCCACAAGAGGAGGAAAACTCTTCACAACAAATCCCTAAACCCTAAACCCTAAACCCTAAACCCTAAATGCCCTTGAAAGCCCGACAGGCCTTCAACCCCGAAACCGCTTATCACAAAAACAAACTTCAGAGCAGTAAGCCAGTAAGCACCTAGAAGCCCAGAACCACACCTTTAAAGCCCACAAGACGCTTAACTTAAACCCTTAACCCCAAACCCTCCTAGCCCTAAACCCCAAACCCTCCTAACCCTAAACCCTTAAACCCCAAACCCTTCAGGCCCAAAGACCTGTAACGCTGGAGTGACGCTTCCTCGGCAGGTCCTCATCAAAGTTCAGCTGGCCGCGGTCAACCCCATCGATTTTCGGCTCCAAGGTTTTCCAGGGTTTAGGGCTTCAGGCTTTTTAGGGTTCAGGGTTCAGGGTTTAGGGTTTAGGGTTTAGGGTTTAGGGTTCAGGGTTTAGGGTTTAGGGTTTAGGGTTTAGGGTTTAGGGTTCCCGGGATTTAGAGTTCAGGGGGTGTTCGGGTTCAGGGTCGAGGGGCGCCCTTCTGCCTGGGCCTACAGCGGATCCCAAGCTAAGGAGCTAGGCCCGGGAGTGGGCCTTTGGGGTTTAGGGTTTAGGGTTTAGGGTTTAGGGTTTAGGGTTTAGGGTTTAGGGTTTAGGGTTTAGGGCCTTTGAGGGTTTAGGGTCTAGGATTTAGGGTTTAGGATTTAGGGTTTAGCGTCTTCTTTTAACAACAAGGCTACCCTTCTTATTCCCATGTTGCTCTGGGATCTAGCGAGGGCACCTACCATGTACCCTCGCCGCGGAAGGTGCCCCCGTTGAACGCATGCCCCCCCCCTAATAATAGGTGGATGGGGGGGGGGGGTTACCCCCCGCGGCACCTATTTAGAATAGGTGGGGCGCCTATTTTGGGAAGGGTGGGGGACCCTAACCAAAAATAGGTGGCGCAGTATGTTCTCGGAGGTCTACCGCCTATTTCTGTAGACACAATACAGCTAGTTCAAGAACTCCCTGGGTTTTCAAGGCATTCTCGACGCCGTTCGCGCCATTGAATTTTACTCAGCATTCTTGACATAGGTGTGGACATGTGTTAGATGTGCTGAAGTGTGACTATACTGGATGGCACTTGTGGGGCGGGCCGCTCAGAGAACCCCCCTCTGAGCACATCTGGAATCGGGCGAGGTTGTTTCAACATCTTGTCACATCTGCCCTACAGCTACGGGTCATTACCGGTCTTGCATGTCTTGCACACACACACACACACAGAGTGCATTTCCTTAATTTTTCTGAATGTGCTATCAGATCAAGCCCGGTTGATTAGCAGATTGCTCTGGCCATGTGGGCTATCGAGTGCCGGTTCAAGCCGAGCGGACGGAAGGATCGTTACCTGCCGGCAAGTGTTGGTAATGAAAATATTGTCCCGTTGTCATTCTGTCCCAGCATGTCTCAGCATCCCCAGCCAAGTCTACTGGCACTGGATCGTGAATGGCCTGACCCTGAAGAAGCTTCCGAGTCATGCTCAGGCTGGCCTCCGTGTCGATTCGGGTTTCATGGGTTTCATGGGTTTCTGTCCTCTTTTGTATAAGTTTCTGCTGGTTCCAGGCAATGACGTGGGCAACCGAGCACGCTCTGGAGGCTCGCAAGTACGACCTTTTTTTTGTTCTTCTTGGGCGCAGAAGTACCCCGAGTGTTGTGCGGATTGTCTGCTGCGGCAGTTCCCACCTCTTCCTTGTCGATACGATCCGAAGAAGGCCTGCCCAACTGTTGTACGCGTGGTATGTGCAAGAGCACTCAGTGGCCAACCTGCTCACAGTCCCTGAAATCTCCTTTGGTTTCAGGACCCTGGAAAGAAGCAGGTCCCCATGAATGAGGAGGTGCCCTGTGCATCTGGGAGATTTAGTTGTTTTGAGTTTGGGTGCTGATGGGATTTTTTTTTATTTGTATGGATGCCCCGTAGGTCTGACGACTCCTGCCCTTATGTGTTCTGCTGGCTAACCATGCCCCTTCTGGGATTCACTCCTCCCATGTCGGTTTCAGGTCCAGGTCTTTGAGGGTTGAGTGTTGAGGCAGGGAGGCAGGGCGCTGGCAGTCTTCAGGCAGGGAGGCAGGGCGCTGGCAGTCTTCTTAAGGGGCTCAGGCTGTGAGGGCGTAGGGGGGTGAGTTTATACCATTGCCACGCTATGCTCAAGGAAGCTTCTCTGAGGCTGAATAGGCTGATAGGGGAGGAATGTGTGAATTGCAGCTTGGGTCATGATGGCTACTAGTGTAGCGCAGTGCAGGGGATCTAAAACTATGCCCAAAGGGGGTGGCTGAAAGGCCAGCGGCAAATTTATGAGTTTGTCTGCACTTGCTCGCGCTACGTCCTCCGGCCATGGAGCCGCTTCGGGTGCACGTCTATCAGGGTGGACGTTACATCAACTCTGCTGTGTGGCCCTCTGACGTAACCGAGTTTCTTACCGCGCATGCAAATGCTATGAGTCCTGATGGCGCTCGTTACATTGTCCGAAACTTGTTGCTTCTATGCGATCGCGAACAAGATTACTTGGATTCTTCGGCTGGCAGGGAGGAGAGCAGTCAGGTATCCATGGCAGGCGTGGCAGATGATGACTCTCAGCAGGCACATGGGCAAAACATGGTCCTCCGGGAGGAGAGCAGTCAGGTCTCTGTTGCGGGCCTGGCAGATGATGACTCCCAGCAGACATACGGGCAAGCTGTGGCTATCAGGGAGGAGAGCAGTCAGGTCTCCGTTGCGGGCCTGGCAGATGATGACTCCCAGCAGACACATGGGCAAGATGTGGCTATCAGGGAGGAGAGCAGTCAGATCTCCGTTGCGGGCCGTGCAGACGATGACTCGCAGCAGACAGATGGGCAAAATGTGGCTATCAGGGAGGAGAGCAGTCAGATCTCCGTTGCGGGCCTTGCAGACGATGACTCGCAGCAGACATATGGGCAAAATGTGGCTATCAGGGAGGAGAGCAGGCGGGTCTCCATTGCTCTTGCAGATGATGACACTCAGGAGACGCCTGGGGGAGGCAGCAGTGCGGCATCAGGTCATGTGGGCACTCCGGAGGCACCGCGGCGCGTCCAAACAGACCAGGTTGCATCCGATAGTGGCTCTCCGGACTCCCAGAGCAAGAGACAGAGAACGCAGTGATGTTGCAAGACGCAGCGGACATCTTCTAGAAAGAACAGCTGTCATGGCCCCCCCCCCCATCCCAGTAACAAACAAACACAACGGACCCAAACCCAAGCCTTCACGAGGACTTTTTACCCTTCAGCTGCAGGTTTGCAGTAAGGACCCTGAACACCGCCCGACATCAAGGCCTGAGTCTGAGCTCTAGAACCCCAGTACCAACACAGAGAGCTTCTGCCCGCATCCCGGGAGAAAATTCCACCCCACAACTTGAACCCTTCTGTGCCCCTGGCTTCTGGCTAGGCGCCATCCACGTCTTTGCCTTCGGCAGTTCCCCAGGACTGCCGACAGTCGCAAATTGTGTTGCAGGACTCATTGCAAGGATGTTTGCTGTGTGTCCGTGACTTGTTTTCAGGGCCCATCGCAGCCAGCTACTCCATTGCCGGATCCGTTGGTAGATGGCGAGCCGTGCGAGCCCGAGGACCGACGGCCTTGATGTGGATATGAAACTCCTCCCGGAACCATACGCCCTAAATCCTTGACTCCTTTTTTTGTTTTTTGGGCAGCTCCGCCATGAACCCCAAACCTTAGACCCTAACCCAAAGACCTACGACCCTAAGCCCTACACCCGAAGCCTTAAACCCCTTACAGTTTCACATAGAGCAGAAAGAGCCCAGTAGGGATCGAGCCTGAACCGGAACTGGCATTGGGCCCGCCGAAGGAGCCCTTGCCTGCGCCAGAGGCCGCCTTTTTTTTTTGTTTAGGTCTCCCTTGGGTTGGGGCTTAGGGTTCGGGTTTTGGGTTCTGGTTTCAGGAAACGATGCAAATTAGGGTCGCCTGGATACTGTAGGGTTCAGGGAGGGGTGTGCTAGGCTTCAGGGGCAATTTACTACGGGCTTAGCTCAGGGTTGTTTGGGTTTGGTTTGGGGTTCAGGCTTGAACCCTTTCGGGTTGTGGGGCAGGCGATGGATAGTGGCATATGCTCAGGGAACCGAGCCAATAGGGTGTCAGTAAGGCTAGTGACGACAAACGGGAAAAAAAAAACGCAACTCCCCAGCCCCCAAACCCAAGGCTTACCCTTAGGTCTTCAAACCTTTCTGCCAAGATCACGCAGGCCGCTGGCGCGGCGCCGCAGGGCGTGTCACCGTCGCCAGGCGGAGCTGGCCGTCGCAGGATTATTTGTGGTTTGGGTTTTAGGGTTAAAGGGTTTAGGGTCTAGAAGAACTGGGTTCAAGAATTTTGTTTTCTTCCGTAGCTGCGGCTTCTTGGAACTTAGAGGTGGGGGCTTCTGCTGTAGCACCCGTCTGGGATGTTCCCCCGTTTTCTAACAGTCCTTCATCGGGACTATATTAGACGTGTTTCGTATCCCTCCTAGACTGGTAGTATAACAGGGAACATCCCAGTTTGGGGCTTACGAAGCCTCAGGGTTCCGCGGAGCAAGCTTCTTGGTGTTGGACAAGTCCTGGGCCTACGGGTTGTATGGGTATTCTTGGGGGGTTTGGGGTTACGGGCCTGGAGCATAGTGCCCCTACACCATCAACCCAGCAACCCGAAACCCTACACTGTGTCGGAACCTGCTGCCAGGGAGTGGTTTTCCGGGCACGGCGCATGTGGAGGACGAGGCACGGGCTGTGGCTGTGGGAGGGTGCCAGGCTGCCCCCCAAATCCTATCCCTGCGTTCCAAACTGACAGCACACGTTGCTTGAATTGGTGATGCCCTCGGAGGACTGCAAACATTATGCCGGAATAGCAAGCAACAAGGGAGATGACATGTTCCTGCTCACCCTGACAGGAGCTGTCTGGATCACTTCGCGAAATGGAGGACTGCTTCAGGAATCGCCTGAGATGGGGATGGGAGAGTTCCACTTGTTGCTCGAACTTTTCAGGAGGCACAAGTGCCTTCCGTATCGGCCCAGCTTCCAGTCGTTCCTCACGAGGACCTTTTAGATGGTGTACCGGCGGCCTGCATTTCTTTCTGTGCAGCTTCTGGCAGGATGAGCCGGGAAATGACTCAGGGGTGCCTGTCAAGGACGGACTGTGCAGATAAGCCCTGGGCGTCTTTGTCCTTTCGTTTGGAGCATACGTTTGGAGCATACAATGCGTGCAGGAGACCGCTCTGTGTGAAACAGGCGTGGCCAAGGACCCGCTTGCCTAGCTTATCCGAGCGATTGACTGGCCAGCTGTTGTTGCTCCTTCTCTTCTGTCATTGTTAAGGACGATCCATCTTGCGACTCGAGAGCTGCAGCTCCTTCTGACGGACCTCTGCAGGACAGGTGGTCATTCACTGCATAAACCCTAAACCCTAAACCCTAAACCCTAATCCTAAACCCTAAACCCTAAACCCTAAACCCTAAACCCTAAACCCTAAACCCTAAACCCTAAACCCTTAACCCTTAACCCTTAACCCTTAACCCTTAACCCTTAACCCTTAACCCTAAACCCTAAACCCTAAACCCTAAACCCTGCTCTTCCTGCTGGTCAGGAGCCAGGATGTCTTGCCGAGCTGGCTGGGGTGCCGTCTGAGGACTGCGCGGATCGCTGCCTGTCAATGATCATTTGTTACCAATTCTCACAGACACACACACACGCACACATATGGCACGACACGTGGGGGGCACGAGGGATTTCATGTGGGTTTCGGGATACGGGCGCCGTGGGCTCTCAGGGTTAGAGGATTTTAGGGGTCGGGCATCTTCGCATAGCAGGATCCTTCGACCGCAACATTGCCCAGTGCCGTCTCTGCCGTGTCCGGGCAGGACGTGGGGCACGAGGGATTTGCTACGGGTTTCGGGATACGGGCGCCGTGGGCCCTCAGGGTTAGAGGATTTTAGGGGTCGGGCTTCGCTTTATATGCAGACACTTGGAGTCAGTGTTGCGGAGTTTGGTATCTTTCGAAGGCTACTTATTCCGGTAGCGGACTGCGCAGCCTCCAGGACTGCGGGCGAGGTGCAGAAGATGGTCTGCAACCGCCTATCCATCCCCAGGTGGGGGCGGATTGCCAACTTTCCTTTTAGGTCAAACCCAAAGCAAACAGCCCAGGGGGGGGTTACGCCTAAACCCTAAACCCTAAGCCCCAAACCCTAAACCCGAAACCCTCAACCCTAAAGCCTAAACCCTAAGCCCTTAAAACCCAAACCCTAAAACCCTAAACCCTGAACCCTTAACCCGGTAACCCTGCGCCCTAAACCTAAAACCTTGAACTTTGAACTGAAGCCTAGCCCTGAACCCTCAACCCTAAACCCTGAACCCCAAACCCTAAACCCTAAACGCTACACCCTCAAGCCTGAAATCTAAATCCTAAACCCTGAACCCTAAACCTTAAACCCTAAACCCTAAACCCTAACCCCTAAACCCTAAACCCTAAAGCCTAAAGCCTAAACCCTAAACCCTAAACCCTAAACCCTAAACCCTAAACCCTGAACCCTAAACCCTAAACCCTAAACCCTAAACCCTAAACCCTAAACCCTAAACCCTAAACCCTAAACCCTAAACCTAACCCTAAACCCTAAACCCTAAACCCTAAACCCTAAACCCTAAACCCTAAACCCTAAACCCTAAACCCTAAACCCTAAACCCTAAACCCTAAACCCTACACCCTAAACCCTAAACCCTAAACCCTAAACCCTAAACCCTACCCTAAACTCTAAACCCTGCACCCTTGACCCTACCTACTTAAGCCTAAACCCTGAACCCTAAACCCTTCTAAAGCTTGCTAGGCTCTGGAGCTGCCTCTACAGCCGGTGAAGTCCGAGCACCAGGCCACGCCGTCATTGATGCAAGAGGTTCAGGGACTGGAGGGAGGAGGAGAGGAGGAGGAGGGGGAGCGGGGGAGTCAGGGGAGGGGGACTGGGCGAGTGGGGGGATTTGGGCTGGAAACCTAAACTTGCACCCCCGAACTACGATTCCCAACCCCAACTTTTGGGGCCCCAGATGGGGTGGTTGGAACAGCAGGTGCTCCAGCAAAAAAAAAACGTCATTTCCAGACCCAGGTTCTCGACTCGAGAACGGGGGTCTGGGGACAGGCGCTTGGAACCCAAAGGTGGGGTTGGGTGGGCTCCCTGCAATAAAAAACGTCATTTCCAGACCCCCGTTCTCGACTCGAGAACGGGGGTCTGGGGACACCACCCCCCCCCCCCCCCCCCCACCCCCCCCACCCCCTACCCCCCACCCCCCAACCCCCCCCTAACCCCCTACCCCCCCAACCCCCCCCCCACCCCCTCCACCGCCTCCCCTGCCCCACCCCCACACTCCCGCACACCCTTCTTGAGGAAGAAACCTGGGTCTGTTGCTTCTGTCCCCCCCCCCCCGCCCCCTGCCCCGGCATCTTCTCGCTTTGTAAACAGAGAGAGCCACACATGTGACAGAGGTTTGTTGTGGAGAACACATACCCAGCGCTGACGGCAGGAAATACGTGGCTGGGAAGGGGGGTCCCGCAGGTCTTTAGAAGGAAAACCACTTGTGAGAGGGTGGGTCCCCCCTCCCCCCCCTCGCCCCCTGCCCCGGCATCTTCTCCCTTTCTGGAGAACACATACTCCGTGCTGTGCTGAAGGCAGGAAATACGTGGCTTGGAGGGGGTTCCATGTGGGCCTTTAGAAGGAAAACCATTTGTGAGAGGGTGGGTCCCCCCCCCCAACCCCCCCCCACCTCCTGCCCCGGCATCTTCTCCCTTTCTGCAGAAACAGTGACAGATGTGGACAGAGAGAGACATGTGACAGGGGTTTGTAGTGGAGAACACATACTCAGTGCTGTGCTGAGGGCAGGAAATACGTGGCTTGGAGGGGGTTCCACGTGGGCCTTTAGAAGGAAAACCACTTGTGAGAGGGTGGGTCCCCCCCCTCTTCTCCCTTTCTGGAGACCAGTGACAGATGTGGACAGAGAGAGAGCCAGACATGTGGGGGTTTGTAGTGGAGAACACATACTCAGTGCTGTGCTGAGAGCTGGAAATACGTGGCTCGCAGGGGGTTCCGTGTGGGCCTTTAGAAGGAAAACCACTTGTGAGAGGGTGGGTCCCCCCCCCCCCTTCCCCCCCCCTCCTCCTGCCCCGGCATCTTCTCCCTTTCTGGAGACAGACTGAGAGATGTGGACAGAGAGAGAGCCAGACATGTGAGAGGGGTTTGTAGTGGAGAACACATGCTCAGTGCTGTGCTGAAGGCAGGAAATATGTGGCTCGGAGGGGGTTCCGTGTGGGCCTTTAGAAGGAAAACCACTTGTGAGAGGGTGGGTCCCCCCCCCCCCCCTGCCCCGGCATCTTCTCCCTTTCTGGAGACAGAATGACAGATGTGTACATAGAGAGAGCCCGTCTTCCCCGCCTCCCGTCTTTCTCGTGACAGGTGACCGAGATCTTGGCTGGCGCTCAGCCGCGGAAGCCGTGGCAGTGTCTCTGGCAATTCCTGGAGGAGCAGGCAGACCAGAGCTCCCGGCTACAGCGGGCTGTGAACCTAGGCTTGTCATTCGTTTCCTGTCTTTTTTTTTTCTTTCATCTTCTGCAGTTGCACCCTGCTTCGCAGTAATGTACATGATTTTCAGCAGTCAGGAAGCGGCTTCCTAGTCAGGAGCGCTCCGGGTTGTATCTCTGCTTGGATGCGGAAAGCAGGGCAGAGTATGCACGTGTTTCCTTGCAAGAGCTGGCTGCAGTGGTGGCCTACAGTCAGAAGCACCGGTGCGACGCAAGCTATCCGGCCTGGAGATCCTTGTCCGCTGAGTCCAGGCGGGCCCACGTGCCGGACGACGCAGTTGCTTTCCTTGCCTCTTGCTTGGAGCCAGCTTGGATGGCTCAGTACACAGCGTATGGTTGGCTTGATCTGCATGCTCCCCGTGATGCCGTTCTTGCCGAGCCTACTGCAGGTCAGCTTGCAGTGCTCTCTGCAATGGGCCACTCTGACGATGCTGCATCTCCAGAGCCGAAGCGAGTGAAGGTCGAGCCGACACAGCCTGTGTCCGAGCAGGAGAGCGAGGTGTTGGAGCCTCGTGAACTGCAAGGGCGTCTGATGCAAGGGTCAGTGTACAAGCCGTTCACAAGCGACCCGTGCGACATCGGCCAAGTTGTGCGAGGTCTGGCAGCCATCTTGCGACTTTGGGGTGGTGAGCAATGGACACGAGTGTATGGCATAGTCAATGCAGGCTGTGATCAGCATTCGCATCTGCTGAAGATGCAGCTCCATTGTCGTGTGATGTTCTGCATTGTGTACTCGCCAACACATTGGTCGCTGTTGGTCTTGCACCGGCCTGAGGACGGGCCCCACACGGCATTCATGTACGACAGTCTCCAGGACCAGGTCTGCGAGGACAGTGGGAGGGCATTCCTTCTCTACGTGACGTCCCAGGGCTGGACGCAGGAGAACTTGGAATTGAGGCTGGCGCAAATCCCGAAGCAGCAAGACACCTGGAGCTGTGGACACCGAGTCGTTGCGACGGCGGACCGCATCTTGGCTCACCTCTCTGACCACGGAGCTCTTCCCAATCGGCTAGAGGGCCCAACGGATGAGGATGTAAGCGTCCTCATCGCCACTGCGAGCAAATGTCACAGGTTGAAGCTGGAGCAATTGGAACAGAAGCGAGAAGCTGCAGTCAAGAGATGCAAAGCAGAGCCTGCGCATCCTGCGAGTGCAGCTGCTGCTGCTGCTGCACCTGCCGCTGCTGCAAGGTCTTGCTTGGTGGATGACGACAACTCTCCTCGCACTCCACCGCCTCGTGCCAGCAAAAGACTCCGCACGCTGGACAGCCCTGCTGAGTCCAGCGAGCCAGCCACACCGCCGGCCACCAAGATTGCGCGTGCGCCGCGACTGGGCGAGGCTGTGAGAAAAGCCAAAGCCAAGTCGGCGACCAAGGACAAGAGGCCAAGCGACGCAGCCGAGAAGCCTAGCAAGGTGGACATGGAGAGCGCTGTGGCCACATGTCTTGCTCACGACGTGACACACACTTACTTCCAGAAGGCCCATGTCCAAGATGGGAGGCCTGCGGGCAGGGGTGAGTGGCACGTCTTCCTGGCAGCCGTCCTGGATGATCGGAAGGTCTTGACTTGCAGAACTTGCCTGGACTTGGCAGAGCGGGTACGCGGTGCCGGCCAGCAGGTGGTGCCAGCTGCAAGTAGCGACGCACTGCCTGACGTGTCCAACGCCCCTGGCCTGGAGAAGCTGGGGGAGTCTTGCCATCAGCGAGGGCGACCGAAGAAAAACGCGGCCCCAAGATGGAGCATCCACGTCTTCATACGGAACAGCCGGGCCGACATCTACAGGCAAACTCCCGGCAGTTTCGGGAAGAGTGTCATCTATGAGTGCCTCGCCTGTGCTCGCCAGATTCGCTTCGGCTCAGCGACCTGTTCCAAGAAAATCGAGGCGCACGAGGCCGCCGCTACCCACCAGCGCGGTCTCCGACGACTTCGTGGAGAGGAGCCAGCAGCTCAACCCATCCAACTTGAGGCTGCTGGGAGTGCGTCAGCTCCCGGGCTGAGCCAGGCCAGAGCATGCTGCGGTGTGTCTACAGGCGAGCCCACGCTGCCACTCCATGCCATCTCCGACACCATGCTCCAGTTCATGCACATGGGCCAGCCCAGGATCAAGTACGCGGAGTATGAGTCCGACCCTTTGCAGGAAGCATTGCTGGAGCTGCAAGATGATCAGGTCGTGGTTCGGAGCAAGAAGTGTGAGAAAAGCACTGGCAGAGGTGCCTTGGCTTGCCGAGCTTGCGTGGCCTTCTGCAGAGGAAAGCCGTTCCGGCAATGCGTCGCCCAGAAGGCCTATTTCATTGACTTGCTCGTGCTGCTGCAGAAGCTTTTTCACGCAAGCCCTCAAGAACAGGACGACTACAAGCGGGTTATGCAGGAACGAGATTACATTCGGCAGGGCCTTGCCGGTGACGACTTGTCGCAGCTCCTCTCTCTCTCCCGCATGGACATTGGACGACGCATATCGGCAAAGTTCGAAAGTATCCCGGCATGGCGGATTTCGGACAGCCTTCGGCGCCTCCTGGACCACTATCTCCTGAGGCCGCATGTGCTGCACGCCTCTGAACAAGAAGCCCTGGCGTACGGCTCGCTCTGCACTAGCCTCAGCAGTGCCATCGCTAGTGGCACGACCCGGGAGCGCGATCTTTGCCTGGCTGCCAAGGTGGCGACAGGAGGGCTGCGAGCAGACTCCCTCGTGGAAGGATTGGCTACGAGCTTTCTGCTAGCCTTCAAAACGAACCTTGCTGATCGCCAACGACGGACGACCTCGGCCTACTGCAATTATGAAGCTCTCAGCGAGTCACTGGTCACCCTGGGGAGGCACGAGGAGGTGGCGAATCTCCTACGAGCATTTCGTGTGAACCCGAAGCAGCTGCAGAAGTTACGGCTGGACAGCGAGAGATTCCCACAAGCCTTCCTTTCTCTGAGTTTGCCAGGCCAGGTCGAGAAGTGCTTCCAGCAGGCCTGCGGGTTTATGAAGTCGGGAGGCACTCGCATGCACGTCATCGTGGATGAAACCACCTGGTCAGCTGCGTGGGAGCAGGTGACGAACCTGCGAGGCCCAGGTATTCCCGAAGCATGCGACTCCGTGTACATTGGTGGGCCCTGGTCCGAGGAACCCGACCAGGATCTATCCATCCTGGTGCCCCAGCAATGGAAGGAGAAGAAACTCGGCAAGCAGCACCTGGCGAAGCTGGGGCTCCATGCCGTGGTCCAGAGGCCCGACTGTGCCTCCTTCCAGTGGGATGTCATGATGCTGCCAAAGAAGCCTGGAGTAAGCTCCGCGGACGAGATGCTGAGCATTGTCGCAACCTTGCTCGACAGACTCACCACCGCTAGTGGCGGCGTGAGTCCCACAGGAGTGGCCTTCGACGGCGGAACGCCCAACTCGAAGATCAATCAGATCTTCCTGGCCTTGCTTGACCGATCCACCATGGACGCCTTGCCATTCTTCTCCTCCTGCCAGGTGCATTATCCCGACTGGTCGTTTTGGGCTTTCGGCTACCTGACCTTCCGCGAGAAGGAGCACATGGTCACATTCAACGGAGCCTTTCACTGGCTCAAGCGGCTGAGCCTTCAGATGCTGTCAGGCTGCAGAAAAATATACCTGGGAGGTCTTTGGCTGGATGTGACCCACGCACTCAGCTTTAACCTGCCCGAGAAGGTCTACGTGGCCGCCGATCCACAGAACGATCTTGCAGGAGCTATGCTGCTTTCACCGCCGTGGATCGGCGAAGGCTGGAGCTCCCTCGGAGCCCACGTCATGTCCCTGCTCGCAGGCCTCTTTGTGTCCGCAACAACAGGCTCGGTGGGGTACACCAAGGCTGAAATAGCCGAGAACGCATTTTCGGGATACTATTTTCTGCTTCTCATCGTGGCTGGAAACGAGAAGAGGTTTGGCGCTGCGTGGAAGCCCAGATGCTTGGCAGAAGCGACTGTGAAGAACGGTTGTGCATTGGCCCATTACTGCGTCGTATCCTCCCTCACAGGCTTCGAACCTCGATTTCTGCAGGAAATCGGAATTGAGAGGCACTTTAGTGCTTTGAAGATGCCGTTCAGGGGCTCGCCATCGTTGAAAGACTACCTCTACGGGAATATGGCTCTGAACTCCCGACAGGCCCGGAAACTGCAAGGCATGAGCGCCCAGGACCTGCAGAAGTACAACTCCACGAAGGACCGCGAGCCATTGAGCATGGAGGCCCTCAAGCTGCTCAGCAAGAAAGGCTGCGCGTCCGCGGTGCAGCTCTACAGCTGCATCTCAGACAGCCTTTCTGCGACTGATGCCTATGGCATGTTGCGGCAGTGGTGGTCGGACAGAGGCCAGCAGTTCTTTCGGTCGCTCAGGCCCGATGCCCTGGAGGACGAGGATCTCCACCCTGATGTCGTGGAGTTGCTGCAGGGAGAGCTGCCCAATGCAAATGCGGAGATCCTACAAACTCTGGAGGACAGAGCCAAGATTTCGGAGGAGATCATTGAGGTCCTGGAAACCGAGAACAGGCCAGCAGAGGCTTCAGCGACAGCACTGGTTTCGAGCTGCTTGGGGCCCGGCGCCGTAGACGATCCATGTGATGCAGATGCTGGGCTGCAAGGACGAGTGCAGGAAGTGACAGGTGCAGCCCGTACTTTGCGAGAACTCCTCCGTCAGTGTCAAGCTCGGTGTCCAATCTTTGACACAAGCGAGGAGTCCAGCAAAGGACGCAAGGAGATGCTCAAAAGGGCCGTCCAGCTACAGATGCCCATCAGGGACTTTGTGAGACAAGCGCGGCTGGAGGAACGACTCCTGTCTGCCACTGCTCTCGGAATCCAGCCGGCTAGTGGTGAACTGAATGCTTGGAATGAGCGACAGCATGAGCTGGCGCTGGCAAATCGAGCGGCAGGTGCGTCACAATTGAAGCTGGCAAGGGCAACACAGTGGTACAATGCACAGAAGCAGTTCTGCGAGGAGACCTGCAAGAACAATGCCAAGAAGACTCACGATGACCCGGGCCTGAAATGCATCCATGAGTATCGTCCTCACAGAAGCAGCAGCGAACAGCAGGTCATTGCGTTCACGACAGAGGACGAGGCGATTGCAGTGGGCGTGGTGCTCAGTGTGTTCCGGGGCTCAATCGTCCGGAAGGCTGGGGCGTCAGACGGGGCGACGTCCATTCGCACCTCGCGGCCTTTTCCTGAGCCCTTGCCATCGACAGCAACGAAACTCATTCACGTGGCCTACCTAGTCTACAAGCAGAGTAATGTTTGGGAGACAAGCTGTGCCGAGGAGTGTGGCCCAGTGGATCCAGTTGGGCATGTGCTTGGGGAGCTGTCCGTGTGCAATTGCGAGGCAACCCGGACAAGGCTTCACGTCCGCTTGACAGAGTCAGCCATCGGTGCTTTGGCAGTGCTTTGCGAGAAAGGTGTGCAGGGTCTGCCCCGTATGCCAGCAATGCCCAGAGACGAGCCAGTCACCTGCGCATCCGACACAGCTGCTGCTGCTGCCACCCTGGAGTTCACAGACCGTTCGTTCTTCAAGTCCCAGATGCCGGGCCAGGTTGAGAAGTTCTTCCGTGGAGTTGCCATGGACTTCGGCAGTTCCAGGATCCAGGTCATTGATGCTGAGGGTTTCGTGACCCTGAATGGCAAGAAGGAGCACTGGGAGACCATGGTCAAGCGCATTCCTGCATACTTCTTCCAGGAGTTCCGGAACCTGCAAGGGTACCGCTTCAGTGCAGCTGTCCACTACCAGGTCATCCAATGTTTGCCATCCAAGGGCCCCTTGAGCTGACACATGTCGACTTTTTTTTTGCATGTATCTTCTTTTTTGAGTTGGGCAGTTTTAGTTCTTCGTTTTTTTTGTTAGGGGGAGGGGGGGGCGTCATAATTGACTCAGGAGCAAGTGCAGTCGCAGCATTGAAGAAGCTTCTGAGTTCGGTGGCAAAGCACACGCCAGAGGTAGCCAGGGTAGCAAATCCGGACATGTAGCTAGATCTTGGATGGGGGCTTTTCGGGCCAATCGGGCCTTGACCCTGCATCAGGTCGCCTGGGCTCATGACTGACAACCTCGTTTAGGGTTTAGGGTTCAGGGTTCAGGGTTTAGGGTTTAGGGTTTAGGGTTTACCTAGAGCCAGTTGACCCCAATACTCCTCGACGCAGCCCCACAAGCCTCGACCGACAAACCTAAACCTCGAATCCTAAGCCCTTGGACCCTCAACCCTCAACTAGAGAGCGACAAAGAGAGCCGGTCGACGATGCGGGTCACAATCCAGCTGTGTACAGAGTTAGTGCTGCTGAACAGCACTGCGCCAGGCACGGGCACGGGGGGTTGTGCAAGTACAGAGTTAGTGCTGCTGAACAGCACTGCGCCAGGCACGGGCACGGGGGGTTGTGCAAAAAGACGACGAAATCGGATGCAGCTACATCACGCGGCCTGTTCCCCTGTGTGTTCGTCTTATGTCTGATGTCAGGTAGCTCGCAAGCGATGATTGTGAGGGTGGTCCCCCCCCCCCCCCCCGAACCCCCCCCCCCAAGAAATAGGCAGCCGCCTATTAGGGTCCCCCCCCCCCCCCCCCCCCCCCCTTAGGGGGTGGGCATTGAACGCTTTTGACATGAGACTTAGGGTTTAGGGTTTAGGGTTGAGGGTTAAGGGGTGATCTCTTCGGGGGTTTAGGGCTTAGGGCTTAGAGGGAATAGGGGTGTTTAGGGTTTACTTGGAGGTTCAGGGTACTTAGAACCCAACTACAAGTGTAGCTAGAACCCACCTTATGAGCCCCTGAAGTACCCCGATATAGGGCTACAATGCGGTCATGAGTACAGTTATGATTGGGTTGCTAAGAACCTCCAAGACGAGAGGGATGATCACTTCGGGAGGGATGATCACCGGTTTAGGGTTTAGGGTTTAGGGTTTGGGGTTTAGGGTTTAGGGTTTAGGGTTTAGGGTTTAGGGTTCGGGCACGTCACACAGAACTTTCCACTGGCAAACGTTCTGCTGGGGGGGGTCCTTCTTCCAAAAGCAGAGGCCTCTCTCTGCACCTTAGAACTGTGCGGATGTACCAAAATGGCAAATAGAGACCACCCATCATTTTTAACCCTAAGCAACGCCTAACCCTAAACCCCTAAACCCCTAAGCCTAAACCCCTCAACCCCTAAACCCCTAAACCCCTAAACCCCTAAACCCCTAAACCCCTAAACCCCTAAACCCCAAAAACCCTAAACCCCTAAACCCCTAAACCCCTAAACCCCGAAACCCCTAAACCCCTAAACCCTAAACCCTAAACCCTAAACCCTAAACCCTAAACCCTAAACCCTAAACCTGCACCAAGGACTGGAAGCTCTTCAGCGGTGGCCTTCATGGCATCTGCCCTGTCACCTTCCCGTAGCATGGTGGACACCATAAGAGCTCCAGGAGGGTTTCGGGTTTAGGGTTTAGGGTTTAGGGTTTAGGGTTTAGGGTTTAGGGTTTAGGGTTTAGGGTTTAGGGCTGCTTTTCGGAGCTTTTCGGATCCTTAAGGCCCCGAAGCCCGGGTTTAGGGTGTAGCCACTAGGACCCTAAACCCTAAACCCTAAACCCTAAACCCTAAACCCTAAACCCTAAACCCTAAACCCTAAACCCTAAACCCTAAACCCTAAACCCTAAACCCTAAACCCTATAGACCCTAAACCCTAGACCCTGCAGCACATTGGGATTCTAGAAGGCGGACTAGGGGCGTGGGATGTTTAGGGTGTAGCGATGGGGATTCATGAGCCACTGGGGCCGCGGCTTAAACCCTTAAGCTTTAACCCTAACCCTTGAACCCTTGAACCCCTAAACCCTTAACCCTAAAAACCCAGCCGCACACCCCAGACCCCCAAGGCCCCAAGCCCCAGCATCCTAAAGCCCTGAACTGCAAAGGGCTCCACACTCCACACTGCACTCTAGGCTTTAGGGTTCAGGGTTTAGGGAGGGCCTTAGAGGGTTCAGGGTGTAGGGTTTAGGGAAGGTCGAGACCCTAGACCCCGAACCCCAACCGGCTTCAGTGTTCCCTCAGGGCCGCCATCACCATCGGCACAGCGCCCAGGACCACAACCCTAAACTCTAAACCCCATCAACCCTAAGCCCGAAGCCCTGAGCCCTAACCATAAACACTACACTCAGCTCCTCGTCAGCAGTCTCAAGACTGCCCACACCTACACGGGGTCGAAGCTCGACCAGAGGAGCTCTTAGACGACGCACACTCTGCCGTATGCCTGGTCTGCTATGTAGCCAAGCAAACATCCCTTCGAGGGCACTTCATGGTTTCGCCCGCCGGATGAGCTGGATGGGGCGGACCCGCTTGAGGATGTCCACATCATCCGGGACAATGTGGACTGTTGCTCCACGAGTGTGGGGGTCAACGACACAGTCCAGAGTTTTTGTGAGGCTCCTCGGGTCGCGCGAAGTTGACATATCGACCGTCGCACCGGTGCTGACCTCAAAACAGGATCGTCGGCAGTGGGGGCTGTGCTTAAGGCTCTCGAGCTCGTGCAGGGCCTGGACGAGCTCATCGCATCCGCTGTTTACGCCACGGCCGTGGACATCATGGGGGGGCTAGGGTTTAGGGTTTAGGGTTTAGGGTTTAGGGTTTAGGGTTTAGGGTTCAGGGTGTAGGGTTTAGGGTTCAGGGTTCAGGGTTTGGGGTTCAGGGTTTGGGGTTTAGGGTTTAGGGGCGAAGACCTTTATTAAGGGGTATAAGGACAACCCCTAGAAGGGACCCTTAATCTTATTTTCCTGTATAACCCCTATACATACCTGATGTAGCCCCTACATACGTAAGTAGCCCCTAAATAACCCCTAAATGGGGTTCCTCCTTTCGTCCCTTGACTGCAGGCTGTAGGGTCTGCTTCCTGGTTCTTAGCAGGGCATGAGGGGATTCAGGTGCCCGATAGAGAATCCGTGAAGGGTATTATAGGGGGCCCCTAAACCCTGAACCGTAAACCCTAAACCCTGAACCCTAAACCCTAAACCCTAAACCCTAAACCCTAAACCCTAAACCCTAAACCCTCCTCCCGACTGAGAACCAGTAGGTTTGGCCCCCAAGGTATGTTCCGGGCTTCGACCTTGCAGGGAAGGTGGCCAAGGCCATCTGCAATGAGTATTGATTGGGATGTAGGGGGGTTTAGGGTTTAGGGTTTAGGGTTTAGTGTTTAGTGTTTAGGGTTTAGGGTTTAGGGTTTAGGGTTTAGGGTGTGGGGTTCCCCCTTATACTAACCGTCCTTAGTAGGGATGACAATAGGGGGTACTAGAATCCCGATGAAGGACTGTTAGCATGAGGGGGAACATCCCAAGTTGTAGAGTTTGCGAGCGCAAGCCCATGCTGCAGGTGTTGTTGAGGTAGAGAATAGAGCGAGACAGTCTTTGAGGATTTGGGAAACCCTGAACCCTAAACCTTAAACCTTAAACCCTAAACACTAAACCATAACCCTTGCTGCCTGGAGGTCGGAGAGGGAGTCACCAACGTCGCCGTGGGCGACGACATTTGCGTCGACATTGGCCTTTGCGAGACTTGCTGCCACTGGGCCTTCCATGGGATCAAAAAACCCTGGAAGCCTTACGCTGCTAAACCCCAAGCCCTAAACCCGAAACACTAACCCGTAAACCCCAAACCCTAAGCGGGGCCGGGGGGGGGGGGGCATTCAGGAAACAGCCATGAGAAACTAAACCCTAAACCCTAAACCCTAAACCCTAAACCCTAAACCCTAAAATCCCTCATGGGCCTGCCTAGAACGATACAGCGTGTAGGGTGCGGAGGCTAAGGGGTTTGAAGCTTGGGACCGTAAGCGCGCGGGTTAGACGCCAGAAGAAGGTCTGAGAGTATCCTGGACATCCCTTACCCCTAAACCCTAAACCCTTTTGGGTTTAGGCTTTAGGCTATAGGGTTTAGGGTTTGGGGTTTAGGGTTTTGGGTTAGGGCCCACCCCTAAAAGAAGGGAAGAAGAACAAAAAGGGGATCGGGGGCCCACACCAGGGGTTTTTAGGCGAACTAACGAGTTGGATCCTCGGCCACTGTTTCCAAGACTGCGCAAAGGACACTGTCCCTGGACCAAACCCCAAACCCTAAGTTCAAATCGCCGCAGGTAATGACAGCCCTGCCGGCCCCGCCGGAGCCTTCGCAGAGCAACTTTGGTGCAAGCGCTGTCGCGACAGCTTGAGGGACCCTAAACCCTAAACCCTAAACCCTAAACCCTAAACCCTAAACCCTAAACCCTAAACCCTAAACCCTAATTAAACCCTAAACCTTATATGGAGTTTAAGAGGTTGAAGGTGCTTGGACCGCTTGGACAGCAAAAACTCAGGGTGGTAGGCTTTCAGGGTTCAACGGTTCAAGGGCGTAACGGTTCGGGTTTAAAGGTTCAAGGGTTTAGGGTTTAGGGTTTAGGGTTTAGGGTTCAGGGTTTAGGGTTTAGGGTTTAGGGTTTGGGGCCTGAAAGGCTTAGGAGGCTCGGAACAAGTTGCTACTTCGTGTTCATGGCTGCAGCTCGGAAAGGTACGCCATCGCGCTTGCAGACACGGTCGCAAAGCGCCTCAGTCCGCAGATCCCGTCAACCCTATAACCCCTAAACCCTAACCCCTAAACCCTAAACCCTAAACCCTAAACCCTAAAAGGCATTCTTTACCTTCCCCTGAGATGCCCCCCCCCCCCCCTCTTCCTGCTTTAGCCCCCTACATAAAGTAGAATCCCAACTTGAAGTGCACAGCTCAGGAACCCCAAGCAGAAGGCCCCCCCAAAATTTTTTGGAAGCGGGCTTGAGCATCAACTGTCTCAAAGCCCCTTATGAGTTCTCAGCAGCCATCGCGAAATGTCGATTTCAAAAAGGTTATTTAGGGTTTAGGGGTTGGGGTTTAGGGTTTAGGGTTCAGATTAGTACCTGTTGACCCCAAACCCGGCTACCACATCGTACCAAATCCTAAACCTTTCCTAAACCCTCAACCTTCACCCCGAAACCCTAAACCCCCCAAACATCCCAAACCTCAGACCCTAAACCCTAAACCCTAAACCCTAAACCCCCAAGAACCCCAAACCCCAGACCCCAGACCCTTAAGCCCTATTCATCACTCGAGAACTTGTCGCTTGCAGAGCTCGGGTTTTCAGAACTCCGAGCCGCACCTTCCCGTTTAGGGTGTAGGGTTTAGGGTTTAGTGTTTAGGGTTTAGGGTCTCAGGGTTCAGGGTTTAGGGTTTAGGGTTTAGGGTTGAGGGTTTAGGGTTTAGGGCTCCCAAACCACAAGCCCCGAAAACCCTAAACTGTGAGCCTTTGGCCCTCATCGCCTCCAGGCGGGAGGGCCTCAGTGCGGAGGAGCTGGTTCCTTTGCCGGATTTAGGGTTTAGGGTGTAGGGGTTTGGGGTTTAGGGTTGGGGGTTTAGGGTTTGGGGTTTAGGGTTTAGGGGGTTTGATGTTAAGGGTTCGGGGTTTTGGGGGGGTGGGGGGTTTGGGGGATTTGGGGGATTTGGGGGGTTAGCACCAGTCGTCTTTGACTGGCTGAGCAGCAGCAGGGGCGCGGGGGGGGGGGGGGGGGGGGCGAGATCGCCATTCTGGTTTGAGGTTTGAGGTTTGAGGTTTGAGGTTGGAGGTTTGAGGTTTGAGGTTTCGGATCTTTAGGGTTAAGGGTTTGGGTTTTTGGGTGGGCTTAGGGCTTAGTGCCGGAGCAAAGAGAGAGAGAGAGAGAGAGAGAGAGCATAGGGAAACGCGGGTTTATGTCTCAACATCCGGGTCCCGAACAGAACCCCTTAGAAAACGGATCCCCCCCAACTGCATCTCGAGCGCGAAGGCTGAAGACGACCGAAGAATTGTTCTTCACTTTCTTGCCGAAGTGAGTACCTGAGCCCTTTAAAAAACCTCACACACTGAACCCCAAACCCCCCGCAACCCAAGCCCAAGAGCCCCTACAATCGAAGCTTCATCTCCAGGTGGGCTTGCCGCTGGCAGGGCTGACCTCTTATCAGGCCGAATCCCGAAACTGCACTGCGAGGGATTAGAGTGCTTAGTCAGTCGCATTAGGGTTCTGGCTACTGGTGTGGTGTCAGTTGCAGAAGCGGGTTGGGGTTTAGGGTTTAGGGGTTTCATACAGGTATCATCAATCTGCTGTTTCCAGTTTGTCATGTTTGTTCTCATGCGCTTTGCTAGGACCCAGAGTAGGCCCTTTTCGCCCTTTTTAGGGGTTGAGTTCCCTTTTTAGCCCTTGTGAACCCAGAAGGGCACCTTTTTGTTTATAGGTTAACAGGGTTTAGGGTTTTAGGGTTTTAGGGTTTAGGGTTTAGGGTTTAGGGTTACTCCTGGGTCTAGTTGGTGTCATCCTAAACCCCAATGCGCACAATCGCTCCAATCGAAGCCCTGCATTTTGCCAGCCCTACACCGAAGCCCAAAGCAAACACAACCTGGCGCGCTGAAAAGATGTGTCCCATTGTAGGTAACAGAAACGGAGCAACCCTAAACCCTAAACTCCCTAAACTGAAACCCTAAACCCTAAACCCTAAACCCTAAACCCTAAACCCTAAACCCTAAACCCTAAACCCTAAACCCTAAACCCTAAACCCTAAACCTTCCTGTGTCAACCTGAAACACCTCAGGGAATTTCGCGGCTCCAAGGGAGGCCTTCTCATGCGCAAAATTCCAAGCCTTCCTTAGGGGCCCAAAAAACCACAGAAGCATAAGGATCCTACTATTGGGGTATAAGGGCCCCTATAAGGGGGATTCCGAACAGCCTTGCTTATGGGATCCTTATGTTTATGTGGTTTTCGGGGCCCCTATTCTTGATGATCGCTTTGAGGGCTCGTGGGGGCATATCGGGCCGGCTGCAGTGCTATGCGGATCGCGCTTTTCTCGTGCAGTTAGGAGCACACGTCCTCACAATCGAAGCTGGCAAGTGCGCGGAGCTCACGCGATCCATGCAGGATCCTGGGGCGACAAAGACTTATTACAGTATATACTGCAGCGGTGCACAAAGGCAGTCTTGAGTCTTGCAGACATTCGTGGTCTTGGCATCAAGCACCAGACTGAGAGTCACACGCCCTACATCTGCAAACCCTCCAAGCCCAAGAAACCCTAATTGGAAGCCATTTTGACTATTATGGGTTTAGGGTTTAGGGTTTAGGGTTTAGGGTTTAGGGTTTAGGGTTTGGGGTTTAGGGTTTAGGGTTTAGGGTTTAGGGTTCGTAAGTTGGGGGACGGGGGATGCTGAAGAGGGTTTCTAGGGGATACTAAGTGGACTTACAAAGTCAAAAGAGCTTCCAAGTGAAACTTCCTAAAATCCAAGAAGGACCCCGGGTAGGCCCCTGTTCCTTTTTGCAGGGTGTAGGGTTTAGCGTTTAGGGTTTAGGGTTACTAGACCCACAGTAGGCCCTCCTTCTTGTAGGGTTATTTACTCTTGGGTCTACTTACTTTAACACAAAAGGCACAAACACTAAATCCCTACACCCGAATATCGCTACATCCCTAAGCCCTGACGTCCCTCAATCACTGAACCCTGAGAACCCTCAATCCCTAAACCCTGATAACCCGAAATCCCTAACCCCACAACCCTAAACCATAAGCCCCCAAAACCCGAAGCCCTAAACCCTACACCCTAAACCCTAAGCCCTAAACCATAAACCCCAAACTTCAAACCCTAAACCCGAAACCCAAAGCAACATGCGGACTCCCAGCGAGGCGCTCTTCACCGGTGCAGGTCGCGACTTCACCGGGGCTGAGCTGGGCACGGTCGCTGAAGGCCCAGGGTTCAGGGTTTAGGGTTTAGGGCTTAGGGGTTTGGGGCTTAGGGCTTAGGGCTTAGGGCTTAGGGCTTAGGGCTTAGGGCTTAGGGTTTAGGGCTTAGGGCTTAGGGCTTAGGGTTTAGGGTTTAGGGTTTAGGGTTTAGGGTAAGTTCTGAAGGCCCCAGCGACTTGCGAAGCTCTTCTTCAGGGCTTTAAGTCACCATAGTAGTGGTTCCCCTTTTGGGGGGTTAGGGTTCAGGGTTTAGGGTTCAGGGTTCAGGGTGCAGGCTGCAAGGTTTAGGGTTTAGGGCTTAGGGCTTAGGGCTTAGGCCTCATAGTTTAGGGTTTAGGGTTGAGGGTTGAAGGTTTAGGGTAAGTTCTTGTTCAGTATTTTAAGTCACCAGAATAGTTTGTATAGAACTAATATGGGGGTATTCGAACTGTGAGGTATCTTATAGGGGTTGTTATGAGAAGGGAGTCCTATTCATTGGGGGGACATGTTTCGTTTCCCCCCCATATTTCAGTATCCTTATTGCTGCTAGTGAATCTAAATTCCTTAGCGCACCCTAAACCCTAAATCGCAGGTCCCAGGTTGCGGTTCCCATAGAAACCAGGTTGACCCATAGCAAATATGGTGCATGAGCTCGGGGTATACTTGTGATCATGGGGCTTCCCTACTTGGAAGCCCTTTAAGCCCTTTTGACTAGGGTTTAGGGTTTAGGGTTGGGGTAAAAGAACCCATGCTGTAATGGTAGCACTTGGAAGCCCTTTTGGGATAGCAGGTGGGGTTAGTAAGCTGGGTTATTGGTGGATTCTTAGAGGGTTTGTAGGGGATGCTAGGTAGACTTACTAAGTCAAAAGGGCTTCCAAGTACTAGCCTCTATACTACTCCCTAGGTTCCCCCCAAAAAGATAAGGCTATGTTGGGGTGATTAACCCTCATTCAGGTTATTTTCGGGGGGAACCAAGGCGGGGCAGTATAGAGGGAGGCAGTACGGCCTGAGTAGGGAAGCCCATGAAATGAGTGGCCGGGCTCTTGGAAGATGACAATTCCCGACGGGGTTCCGTGTTTTAAGGGTTTTGTGCGGACCAAATGAGCCCTCAAATTGGGGGCATGTGCCCTAGACGATCTAGTTCTACTATCATCCCTATTAAGCTAAGACCGGGAGTAGGCCCTTTTTTCCCCGAAAGCATCGCGAAGGGTTCTTCCGTGCGGAGCCCTCTGACCCAACAACATAGACTGAAGTGCATAGAGTGAAGTGCATAGGGTGAAGTACACAGAGTCAAGTGCATAGAGTCAAGTGCATAGAGTGAAGTGCATAGAGTGAAGTGCCATAGAGTGAAGTGCATAGAGTGAAGTGCATAGAGTGAAGTGCATAGAGTGAAGTGCATAGAGGGAAGTGCGTAGAGTGAAGTGCATAGAGTGAAGTGCAAAGTGCATAGTGTGAAGTGCATAGTGTCAATTGCATAGAGTGAATTGCATAGAGTGAATTGCATAGAGTGAATTGCATAGTGAAGGGCATAGAGTGAATTGCATAGAGTGAACTGCATAGAGTTCAGTACAAGTTAATAGAAATTACGAGATTTACGTAGAATTTAGTAGACCTTCGTACCCAGTCCTAGATTTCTTAATTAACATTACTCTTTCTAAGGCGGCGGGCTGGGTTGACATCGCCAATCGGGATTGCAACCCTCTGCGGGTTTCGGCGTGGTCGCGGTGCTAAAACCGTCGTTTTTACGTTTCTTTCTGGCCGCGGACAACCCTCTGCGGGTTTCACCGTGGTCGCGGTGCTAAATTTAAACCGTCGTTTTTTAACGTTTCTTTCTGTGCGCGGACAACCCTCTGCGAGTAATCGCCGGGTCGCGGTGCTAAAACCGTCGTTTTTTTGTACTTTTTTCCGTGGGCGCAGACAACCCTCTGCGGGTTTCCGCGTTGGCGCGGTGCCAAAACCGTCGTGTTTTTGCGTTTTTGACATACAAACGTAACCCCTCTGCGGGTTTCGGCGTTGGCGCGGCGCAAAAACCGTCGTGTTTTTTGCGTTTCTTGACATACAAACGTAACCCCTCTGCGGGTCTTCGCGTGGTCGCGGGACCGAAACCGTAACCGTAGTGTTTTGCGTTTTCTGTAGTACAGAGGTAGTACGCCGGGGACTTCCGTGGCTGGGAAGTCGACTTGTGTAGTACAACTGTAGTACGCCGCGGACGCCCGGAGCTTCCGTCGTGGCTGGAAAGTCGACTTTGTAGTTGAGATGTAGTACGCCGGGGACACCCGGAGCTTCCGTGGCTGGAAAGTCGACTTTTCTAGTGCAAATGTAGTACGCCGCGGACGCCCGGAGCTTCCGTGGCTGGAAAGTCGACTTTTGTAGTACAAACGTAGTACGCCGGGAACACCCGGAGCTTCCGTGGCTGGAAAGTCGAGTTTTGTAGTACAAATGTAGTACGCCGCGGACGCCCGGAGCTTCAGTGGCTGGAAAGTCGACCTTTGTAGCACAGACGTAGTACGCCGCCAATAGCGTGGAAGCGGAATTCCGCATGCTTCAAAACCTCGCAAACAGCATGGAAGCGGAATTCCGTGCGCGCGAAAACCTCGCAAATATCGTGGGGCTCGAATTCCGGGATGTCGAAACCCTCGCAAACATCGTGGGACTCGAATTCCGGGATGTCGAAAAGCTCGCAAATATCGTGGCGCTCGAATTCCGGGATGTCGAAACCATCGCAAATATCGTGGGGCTCGAATTCCCCGAAACCATCGCAAATTTCGTGGGACTCGAATTCCGGGATGTCGAAACCCTCGCAAATATCGTGGGGCTCGAATTCCGGGATGTCGAAACCATCGCAAATATCGTGGGGCTCGAATTCATCGAAACCGCTTCGTGGGACTCTAATTCCGGCGCTTCGAAAACCTCGCAAATATCGTGAGACTCGAATTCCGGGATGTCGAAACCATCGCAAATATCGTGGGACTCGAACTCGAATTCCTCGAAACCATCGCAAATATCGTGGGGCTCGAATTCCGGGATGTCGAAACCATCGCAAATATCGTGGGACTCGAATTCCGGGATGTCGAAACCATCGCAAATATCGTGGGCTCGAATTCCGGGATGTCGAAACCATCGCAAATATCGTGGGACTCGAATTCCGGGATGTCGAAACCATCGCAAATTTCGTGGGACTCGAATTCCGGGGCCTCGAAACCGTCGCAAATATCGTGGGGCTCGACTTCCTCGAAGCCCTCGCAAATATCGTGGGACTCGAATTCCGGGATGTCGAAACCGTCGCAAATATCGTGGGACTCGAATTCCGGTGCCTCGAAAACCTCGTATATATCGTGGGACTCGAATTCCGGGGCCGAATTCATCGAAAATATCGTGGGGCTCGAATTCGTCCGGGGTTACGAAACCCTCGCAATTTTGTTGGGACTCGAATTGCGCAGGTGCGTGCCGCGACCAGCCACTGGAGCTCGGCGTTGTCTTCAATGCCGATGAAGTGTATACAGTTGACCACAAGTGCATGGCGTTCATGTCAACACACTTGAATGCTATGCAGTTCCAGTGCATAGCACGCGCAGTATACAAGCGCAGTATACAAGTGCATATGCAACCATATAAGTGCATACACTTCTGCAAGCGCATACAGTTCGACTGCAAAGAGTCAAGTGCATGGAGTCAACGCATGGCAAATCGATGCTTTCGGGCCATCCCTCTTCTAGTTTGTTTTTAATGTTGGGGTTCCCTTATAACCCCCTTAAAACCAAAAAGGGCACCCTTTTATTCCTAGGCTACTCCCGGGTCTAGTAAGGTATATGAACCATGAACCCTTTCAGGGTTCATGTGGTCCCCCCTTTGAAGCAGAAGAGGTTGGTTCTCTTGCAATCCCAGACACTGAGAGCCAAAACCACCGGGAGCTTGACCCCTCAACCCCTAAGCCGGTTGGGGTTTGGGGTTTAGGGTTTAGGGCTTAGGGTTCAGGGTTCAGGGTTTAGGGCCATAGCCCTATATGAGATCATGGCCCTTTTGGAGAGGCAAGAAGGTGTTGATCCTGGGCGGTGCAGCGGCCACCGGCGCGATCGCCATCCAGCTGGCCAAGGCCGTCGGTGCCCACGTGGCCACCACAGCGTCCCGGCATGCAGCTGGTTAGGAGTGGGCCCTATAAAGCCCAAACCCTAAACCCTAAACCCTAAGCCCTAAGCCCTACACCCTGAGGTTAGGAATAGGCCCTAAACTCTAAGCCCCCCCCCCCCCCCTGGCAAGACAGCCCTGGCCCCCTGTTTTGGGTGTAGGATTTAGGGTTTAGGGTTTGGGGGGTTTAGGGTTTAGGGTTTGGGGCTGAAGATTTATCGTTTTCCGGTTTCTGGTCTAGGGTTCAGGGCCTCTAGAAGTTTAGGTGTTTAGGGCTTGGGGGGGCCGAGAAACCCGCAGCCAGGCCAGCCCAAACAAGATGCCGGATGGAAGCAGCAAGATCGACTACATGAAGAAGCTAGGTGCGGACGAGGCGGGCTGTGTGGTTGAGGGCTTGTGGTGGGGAGAAGGGGGGGGGGGGGCAATCCAAGGCTCGAGACATTGTTCACGACATTTGTTCACGGACATGTTTGATTTCAGTGTTTGGGCTGTATATAGATAGGGTTTAAAGGGATTTAGGGTTTAGGGTTTAGGGATACTGCAGAGTTTAGGGTTTGGGGTTTACGGTTTAGGGCTGGAGTTTAGGGGTAAGTGCTTATTTACTCAGGGTTTAGGGTTTAGGGTTTAGGGCCTTGCTCTGAAGACTTCAGTCGAGGTGATCAACTACAAGGAGGCCGACTGGTCCGATGCCCTGGCGGGCAAGGACAGCCCAGGGCTGATAACCCTTCAAACCAAAAAGGGTGTAGGGTTTAGGGTTTAGGGTTTAGGGTTTAGGGTTTAGGGTTTCCTTTTTTGTACCAAGGTTACTCTTAGGGTCACCGGAAGCCCCAAACCCCGAAAGCCCCAAACCCCGAAGCCCCCAAACCCCACACCCCAAACTCCAAACCCCAAACCCTAAACTCTGAACCTTACACCCCTTTCTTGCCCCCACGGGTGGTCCTGCGTATATGGTTCAGGGCATTTGGGGGGGGGGGGGGGGGCTCGGGGTTCGGGGTTTAGGGCTTGGGAGGCATTATACTCAAGGGCAACTATAATCCCCATCAAGGACTGTTAGTATAAGGGGGAGCATTCCAAGTCTAGGGTATTCTGGGTGTTCACGGATTTGGGTTCAAGGGAATCTTGGTTCAAGGTTTGAACTGGGCTGATTGCGACCTTGCTTGCAACGCAGATGAAAGCCACGGACCACTTGAGCTCAGCGCAGAAGACGGAAGAGACAAAAGCAGCAACGAGGCAAATCTTGGATGACCCCAGGGCACGTCAACGTGCTTCCACTTATAATCCCAATTTTAAGGACTGTTTGTTTAAGGGAACATCCCAAGGTAGGCCCATATTAGAAGCATCTCCCTAAGCCCTAAACCCTAAACCCTAAACCCCTAACCCCCTAAACCCACAGTTTGCTTCAAGCCCTACGAAGAGTAGCCACGAACCTTCAGCATGGATTTGGAACCAAGCCTCGGCCTCACCTGACATGTTTGCGGTAGGGCCTGGTTTAGAGTTTAGTATTTCGGGTTAGGGTTTAGGGTTTAGGGTTTAGGGTTTAGGGTTTAGGGTTTAGGGTTTAGGGTTTAGGGTTTAGGGTTTAGGGTTTAGGGTTTAGGGTTTAGGGTTTAGGGTTTAGGGTTTGGGGTTTAGGGTTTAGGGTTTAGGGTTTAGGGTTGGAGGCTCGTTCAGAACCTTATGACCCTAAGCCCTAATTGAGCCCCAAGCCCTATCGACCCAACCCCACAAATCAACCCAGAGGTTCCTCAAGAAACCTCGGCCCACATGAGGAGTTTGACCAGGTCTACGACTGCGTCGGCACGCCGGAGGACTGAGACCTCCATGCATGACATATGAACCAAACTTCATGAGAGGTTTAGGTTTTAGGGTTCGGGAGAGTCCCCAACCCTAAATCCGCCAACCAAACCCCCACACAGCACTTACGAAGCGTTAGCGGCTTTTCAAAAAAGCCAGCCCTCGAACTCCCACGCAATCCGTTCCAGCAAGCTCTCGCTGATCCGATATTTGCAAAACCTAAGGCCTCTGAGCCGCCCTGAAGTCCTGCAAAGCCCTAAACCCCCAAGTTAGGGTTTAGGGTTTAGGGTTTAGGGTTTAGGGTTTAGGGTTTAGGGTTTAGGGTTTAGGGTTTAGGGTTTAGGGTTTAGGGTTTAGGGTTTAGGGTTTAGGGTTTAGGGTTTAGGGTTTAGGGTTTAGGAGAAGCCACCCCCCAAACCCGAAGCCCCTAAGCCCCTAGAAGGCACTACCAGTGCATGTAAACGCCAAGAAAAACTAGGACCCGTCTACTCTGTAGGGTTGGGGTTCCCTTCTAACCCCCACTAAACCAAAAAGGGCACCGTTTTTATTCCTAGGTTACTCCTGCGTCTAGAAAAGGACTGGCCCAAGGCCGCCAAGATCTTGAAGAAGGGTGGTGTTTTTGCCACTTGGGCTTCAAAGGTCAAGAAGGGCTTCTCGTGTTTTGGCTACCCAAAGGCTCCTATGTAGTACCTTTTTGGGGGTAGTATACTAGAGTCCCCCATAACTAACCCAAAAGGAACTACGTTGGAGCCTTTGGGTAAGCCCCAAACTCTAGACCCTGAGGCCGAAACCGCCTAAACCTGCAAAGAAGTCGGTGCCAGGGACGACTCCCATTGCCACGGTACTTGATAGACCCCACTTGGAGGTTCATGGTACTTATTTACCAATTATAGCTGTACTTATAACCCACTTATAAGCCCCTAAAGTGCGCTAATATGGTTATAACTACAGTTATAAGTACTGTTATAATTGGTTAATAAGTACCGTGAACCTCCAAGCATGCGCCAGCTATCAATCAGCAGCACCATGGCTGCTTCTGAAAGAAGTTTCAACAACACGCCTTTCCAGAACCGCTTTTTTTAAGCCCTTTGTTTTGTAGACCTCAAGCCCGAGACCAAGCTGCAGCAAACACAGCCGCATACAGCCTTTTTTAACAAACTTCCCTAAACCCTAAACCCTAAACCCTAAACCCTAAACCCTAAAACTTCCCTAAACCCTACATCCTCAACCTCACCTCAAGAACCCCAAGCCTACTTTCTTGTACGTTTTGACGATAGAACTTAAGACCTTGGGATGTTACCCCTTATAGTGACAGTCCTTAGTAGGGAATACAGTACCCCCTGTTAGAATCCCTATTAAGGACTGTTAGGATAAGGGGGAGCATCCCAAATAAAATCCTTTACAACATTCTTAGGTAGGCCCGATTCCCCCGAAACTGCGATAGGGGTTTAGGGTTTAGGGTTTAGAGTTTAGGGTTTAGGATTTAGGGTATAATTAGGGTTTAGGGTTCAGGGTTTAGGGTTTAGGGGCCCTAAACCCAAACCCTTTTTCGGGGTTTAGGGCGCAGGGATGAGTTTCCGGCTATCTTAGAGCTTTAAGGTCTACACGTTAGGGTTTTTAGGGTTTAGGGTCTCGGGTTTAAGTCAGGGGGGGGGGGGGGGTAGGATTACGTTCGGCTTGTTGGGGTTGAGGGTTTGCAGGTCTATGGTGAGTTTTGGGATTAGGCAGGATTTCAAAACCGTAGCAATGCACTACATAAGAGTCAGATCGAACATTTTCTGCAATCTCAAGTATAGTATGTTAGTTCCCTATGTGATTCTTCTCGAGCTCCCGAGCCCCCAAGCAACTTTGAAACCCCAAGCCGTTCTCCCTAAACCCTACACCCTAAACCTTTTTCAAGACATCGAGCAGCTTCGGAAACGCCTGGAGGTAAGCTGGAAACCCTAAACGCCCTGAACCCTAAACCCTAGCCCTAAACCCGAAACCCTAAACGCTAAAAAACCCTAAATCCACCTCTGAGGTCAGCATCGCTAACTTTGGGGACGCGAAGTCCACCGAAGACCACCTCTTCAAGCTGCGTGGCGGAGGTTCATTACCCTGGGTCTTAGTAGGGTTTAGGGTTTAGGGTTTAGGGCTCATTACCCTGGCTCTCAGTAGGGCATCTACCTGCATTCCCAACTCAGCCCTTTGTCGTGTTTAGGTTTTGGGGTTTAGGGTTTAGGGTTTAGGGGCTTAGGGCTTAGGGCTTAGGGCTTAGGGCTTAGGGCTTAGGGCTTCAGAGTTTAGCCCAGGAGGCGCAGTGGCACGTTTCGCGCGTTTTTGGGACTCCACGTGACGGAACCTACATGTTTGAGTTTGGTAGCTGGGCAGGACGCTCTGGGCTGCGCTTTATTCACGGGTTTGGGGTTTGGCGGTTTGGGGTCTTCTTGGGAGGTTCAGGGGGAACTTGTAATCCCCAATTACAAGTCCACAAAAAAAAACTACTTAGAGGACTTATAGGGGGCATATAAGTACAGTTATAATTGGGGTATACCCTGAACCTCCAGGTGGGGGCTTCGCCACAAGTCTCACGGAAAGCCTGCGCGAGGGAAGTGCTAGACCCTCGACCCCACAGCCCTAAACCCTAGGCCCTAAATCCTAAAGTTTAGGGTTTAGGGTTTGGGGTTTGGGGTTTAGGGTTTAGGGTTTAGGGTTTAGGGTTTAGGGTTTCTAAACCCCCAAGCAGATCCAAGGAACTTCCTGCTGAAGTCCAACGCCGAAGACTTGAACAAGCTGGTCCAGTTTGTGAAGGACATTTTTGGGTTTCCGAAAATACGATCCCTTTCTGAGGCACCCTAAATATTTTTCAGCCTCCTTATGATAGTATCCTGGGGCCCTAATTTAGATCCAGTTTTTGAAGGACATTTGCTGAGATTAGGGGTATTCTGTTGGGGTCCTTTATGATAAGGGGGTTCGCTACAGCAATTTTTGTATGGCTACCCTTAGCCGGGGGGGGGCGGCGGGGGGGGGGGGGGGGGGCGGGGGGGGGGGGGGGGGGGGGCGGGGGGGGGGGGCGGGGGGGGGGGGGGCGGGGGGGGGGGGGGGGGGGGGCGGGGGGGGGGCGGGGGCGGGCGGGGGGGGGGGGGCGGGGGGGGGGGGCGGGGGGCGGGGCGGGGCGGGGGGGGTGGGGCGGGAGTGGGCGGCGGGCCCGGAAGGGCGGCGGGGGCACCTCATGTCGACGGCCCCAAAGTCAAACCTCAACTCTGCAGCTCGCAACCTTAAACCATCGGAAGTTGCGTGGCTTCGGTTTAGGGTTTAGGGCTTTTCTAGCACAGCTTCGAATCTTAGAAGCCTGAAGCAAGCCCGAGGCCGAAACAGGAGCTAACTGCACCCGTTGACTTAACCCAGCAGGTTTCCCCCTGATTCTTTAAGGCCCTATATGCATAATATATATATATATATATATACACCCTTTACGGGATTACATAGCGTACTGTACCTCATTCCCTACAAAGAGTCAGCCAGGTTTAAGGTTTTCAGCTTTTGGGATTGGGATTAAGCCCTATCATAGACCCGAGCACGGCCCTGCGAAAGAGGTAACCCTAGACCCCAAACCCAAAACCCCCAACCCCCAACCCCCAACCCCAAACCTCAAACCCCAAACCCTAAACCCTAAAACCGACTTTATAAGCCGCCGCCTCTACCTTCCCCGCCCCAAGAATCTAAGGTTGGAACCATGGGCCCTTCGTGTGGTCTCTTGCCCTTCCTTCTTTATCGGACCGGGAGTAGGCCCTTTTGGCCTTTTTTTAGGGTTGGGGTTCCCTTATAATCCCCTTAAAACCAAAAAGAGCACCCTTTTTACCTAGGTTACTCCCGAGGGATCCGAAGTTATAAATGTATATAAGGGTTATATAATCAGGGGTTGAGATTAAGGGTTCTTTATATGGGTTCCGAAGTATGGGTCCTTATTATAGATGTATATACGGGTTATAGAATAACGGGTTTTTATTGAGGGTTTATGCTTGGCCCAGAAAGAAATTGATACGACCTTTGTACCCTCACTTACAATGTATAGCCCCCGTCCCTTAAGGACCCTATAAACAATCCATCAGGTCCCCTCCCTTCAGGACTTTACAAATAATCCATCAGGTGTTTGAAGTTAGGGGGAGGGGTTTCGTGGTAGGGTTATATATGTAGAAAGCTCGAAGCCCTTAGCCCCATAGGGTTGAGGTGTAGAAGCCCCAAGCCCTAAACCCTAAACCCTAAACCCCAAACCCCAAACCCTAAACCCTAAACCCTAAACCCTAAACCCTAAACCCTAAACCCTAAACCCTAAACCCTAAACCCTACCCTAGTGTGTGTTTTGCGAAGGAGGGGAAGCTGAAGATTCCCGTAGACTCCATCGTCCCGTTTGCGGAGAGCGGGGTGGATTTAATGGTTTAGGGTTTAGGGTTTAGGGTTTCGGGTTCAGGGTTTAGGGAAAGTTTAGGGTTTAGGGCTTGGGGTGTTTAGGGGAAGTTTAGGGTTTAGGGTTTAGGGTTTAGGGCTTGGGGTGTTTAGGGTCTTAGGGTGTTTTTTTTTGTTCAGCGCTTTGGGGTCTACGGTTTTAACCGCTTAGGGTTTTAGAGTACAGGGTCTGAGGGCTTTCGGGATGTTTGGTTTCAAGGGTCTTGGATTTTTGAGTACCGGGCTTTAGGCTCGGAGTTTCAAAGTTTAGGGTTTAGGGTTTGGGGTTTCTGGTTTCGGGTTTCGGGTTTCGGGGTCCTTTTGAGCCTAGGGTGTGGGGTTTACCTTCAGAGTTTTAGGGCCGGAGGGCTTGGTGTTTTGGGTTAAGGGCTTGCGGGTTTTAGGTCTTAGTGTTTCGTGGTTAGGGCTTCAGGGTTGAAGTTGAGGATGCGGTTATTGGAAAGTTTTATTGAAGACCGAACGGAAGCCAAAACATTTGTCAACATTGATGTAGTTCAAACTCCCCGATTTTCTCAAAATGCATGTTCCAAAAACAAAGGCCCCGATATTTTGCTCCAGTTAGGGGCTTCTTCAG